TATATATATATATATATTATATATATATATATATATATATATATATATATATATATATATATATATATGGGTATATATATATATATATATATATATATATATATATATATATATATATATATATATATATATATATATATATATATATATATATATATATATATATATATATATATATATATATATATATATATATATATATATATATATATATATATATATATATATATATATATATATATATATATATATATATATATATATATATATATATATATATATATATATATATATATATATATATATATATATATATATATATATATATATATATATATATATATATATATATATATATATATATATATATATATATATATATATATATATATATATATATATATATATATATATATATATATATATATATATATATATATATATATATATATATATATATATATATATATATATATATATATATATATATATATATATATATATATATATATATATATATATATATATATATATATATATATATATATATATATATATATATATATATATATATATATATATATATACTTTTTTTTCCTTTTTTGGATTGATTGTCCTTTTTTGTTTGAATGAAGTTATTTTTGAAGTTATTATTGTAAACTACAAAATTGAGTGTATTTTTTTATTTATACAGCTTGAGTAAAAATTATTAACCCCCCTTTGATTTTTCTTTTCTTTTTAAAACATTTCCCAAAATTATGTTTAACAGTGCAAGGAAATTTTTACAGTATGTCTGATAATATTTTTTTCTTTTGGAGAAAGTCTTATTTGTTTTATTTTGGCTAGAATAAAAGCAGTTTTTAATTTTTTAAACACCATTTTATAGACAAGATTATTAGCCCCTTTAAGCTATTTTTAATTTGATAGTCTACAGAACAAAACATTGTTATACAATAACTTGTCTTATTCCCCTAACCTGCCTAGTTAACCTAATTAACCTAGTTAAGCCTTTAAATGTTACTTTAAGGTGTATAGAAGTGTGAAAATATGTAGTAGAATATTATGTACTGTCATCATGGCAAAAATAAAATAAATCAGTTATTAGAAATAAGTTATTAAAACTGTTATGTTTAGAAATGTGTTGGAAAAATCTTCTCTCCATAAGACATAAATTGGGGGGGGGGGGGGATAAATGGAGGGGGGGCGCGAATAATTCTGACTTCAACTGTATATATTTGTTGGATTATTCAAAAATGTTTTAATTGCATTTACTGTGTGTATTTATTATATTGGTAGCATTCAACAATAATGTTTGTATTAGTAATGTTAATGTATTTACTAACATGAATACATAATTAACACTACATTTATTACAGTATTTATTCCTCTTTGTTAATGCTACTTAATTGAAATAAAATTGTTAATTTTTCTTTTTATCTCACAATGCATAAGCAAATGCCTACACTAATAATAAATGCTGTGCAGTAATTGTTTATTACTAATTCACATTAGTAAATACAGTAACAAACATGAACTAATTAAACATTATGAAATGTGATCATTTTATTATTAAATTTTTTAATTTATATTATTATTATTATTTCTTCATTTCAAGTAGTTTTTTAGGTAACAAATGATGTCATGAAAGAAACCTACCATCATATTTCCTACAGATTTCGTTTCCATTACACTTTTAAATCTGCATGCCCATGAACTGGCTGTGCCAAAAAATAATATAAAAAAATTAATAAATAAAGATTTGAGCTACCCTGCTGTAAAAAAACCCAATTACTCAAGCTTATGCTGGTTTGAAGAGCGAACATGTCATAATGAATTCTGGGAGTGCAATACCCACTGTAGATATGCAGCTTGCAGTTTTAAGTACTAACATACCGAGTAGCATGTCTAAGAGAAAGAAAGAGAGCAGACAAAACTTAAAATAATTACAATCACTCTAAAAACCAGAGTAATTCAAGCACATAGCCCAACTTCTCAGATCAAAGGAATGTATTGCATGAGCTGATACAATATGAATGATAAAAAAGTACAAAGACTTGTTTTACTTTACACGGCAAGGAGAAAAAGGGCAGTTTGATGTGCTACTCACCATTACAGAAAAGCCAAGTAAACAGCAGACAGGCCTGCAAGTCTGGTCACCATAGAGATCCAAGTGTATCTGTAAGTAGTGGAGAGAGAAACAAGAGAGAGAGAGAGAGAACGAGAGAGAGAGAGAGAGCTATGAAACTCCACTCACCTTCAAGTCTCTCCCTCTCTGACCTACAATCACATTGGGAGGGGGACTACTTTGGGTGGAGACAGGAGGTCCCAATAGTTTGATACGTTCCCATGGAAACAGAGGAAGAACCAAACACAGAGTAAAGAGGAGAGAAAAAAGGGAATAAGAAAGGAAAAAACACTCTGATATCTAAGGGAGCAAATGCCAGACTGTGCACAGACACTACTACACACACACTGCTAGCTCAGAAATACATGCGGTCATCCGGTATTATGAAAAAATACAAGCAAATGAACTGGTGAATCCAGAGTTGAGATGAGTAAAAGTCTAATAATTAATAATTTCTTACAACTATATAATCACTTGGCAGTATAGAGTCCACATTAACACACTGGGGCATTAGGACCCACTCAGACTGCATGCCTCACTTTTCCCTCTACAGGCAGCAAGCTAGCTTTCCCATGCAGTCTCCCATCCAGGTATTGACCATGCGCAGCCAAGCTTACCTTCAGTGGGCGACCATGTGAGAGTTGCAGAGAGTTAGCTGCTGGATGAATATAAGCGTCATGAATATTTTTGTGATCAAGTTTCCAGAGGAACAAACTATTTGTCCTTATAATGTCTTATTAAAATTGTCATTACGCTGTTAAATCATTTCTTAAGAATGCTAATAATATTTAATATCCTTTTAATGACGAGTTCAGCTTGTACCACTGTAGTTGAGGTAAAATAAATAAATTAATGATGTTAAACAAAATCCTGACATAATTATAATGGCTTCATGGCAATTATGTTTATGACAGATTTATGACAAGTTTATTAAATCGCAAATAAAATGTCAAATACATAAACTATAATGGAATGTAGGTAATAAAATGTCACAATGTTTATTTATAAAAAACCTAAAGCGCAGAACTTTATGCAGAAGAACCGTACAGTTCAATTCACCTTTTTTGTATAGCGCTTTTACATTGTAGATTGCGTCAAAGCAGCTTCACATAGAAGATTGTTACAATGCAGTGCACAATAGTACTCTTTGTTTAAGTGCCCCTTTATATAAATTGCAGAGCCCAGTGATAAAAAAAGATTAAGAAAAAATGTTTAAAGACTTTTAAAAAAAAAGTTTAAAAAATAAAAAAAAATTGACAATAATAATTAAATTCTTACATTTATATAGCCAGACCACACATCAGACCAGAGACCAGAGTGGTGAAGTCAATTATGATCTGGGGATGGTTAGGAGACCATGATGGACAGAGAGATGCCGGGGTTAAACCCCTACTGTTTTTAGAATGAGAAAGTCAGGAGCAGTATAGAGTCCTCTTTAATATACTGGGGCATCAGGACCCACACAGATTGCAGGTTGAGTGCCCACTGCTGGTCTCACTAATACCACTTCCAGCTAGCTAGCTAGCTTTCCCATGTGGTTTCCCATCCAGGTACTGACTGGACACAGCCCTGCTTAGATTCTGTGGGTGTCCATGTGGGAGCTGCAGAGAGCTAGCTGCCGGTGATCTCTAGAGCACCAGATCTGTTGTTTATCTAAACTTATTGGATATTCTTGATTTGAATTTTAAAGCAACAATTCATAATTATAAAATGAAGAGAAGGAAATTGGAAAATAAATTATGTATAATTATTACGTATAAATTATTAATGTATTATAAAAAATTACAAAGATAATACAGTACAATATGGTGACCAAAAGAGCATTCAAGCACTGCAAGTGAAGAAAAACTGTCTGTAGAGACTAACAAATAAAAAAAAAATTATGATAACACACTTAGACAAACATACTTATAACACATATATATACAGAAACACCACAACACAAATGTCTCTAAGGGACCATAAAAAGTGACGCACCCAACTACTTCCTGTTTATAATTAGCTGACTGCAATGACAGAGTTGGATTCTGGCAAAGAACTGTTCAAGAAAGCAGGTAAAACAAACGAAAAATGCAAAAAAATAAAATTGACAAGTAAATAACCAGTTGAGAAGGTGGTAAGATTTGAAAACGTTGTAAAAATCAGACAGCCTGGAGGGCTTTTCTTTTTCTTGATTGCTTTTAAAAAACAGTCAGTTTTGAGGTCTGACAAAGCGTACACAGCGGCCTCTAGTGGATTCACAAAAACTGCAACAAAAAAAACAAAACATTCTTATTTTGCACAGTCCAGAAATGTTTGCAGGGGTAAGAATCATTAATGACCCTGGGTTGTTTGTTGTTGTATTTTTTTTGTCAAATAAAAAAATAAAAATAACCCACCTCTCCAACAACATCGCTGACTTTAAACAGGAAGCAGTTGGGTGCATCACTTTTGGGGGATACCTAGACACATTTCTGTTGTAATCTGCTCTATTGGCAGCTCTTACATTTATTGTGAGAATTTAAGCGCTTGTGTGTTACCAAACTGATAATAATTTTTTTTTTCACAATTTGTTAGTGTTTTTTTATTCAGGTGTTTTCTCGCAGTGTGTTTGAACCTTCTCTGCCACTCTATGGTAAAACAAATACAGTGCTCAACATAAATAAGTACACTAAATTTTAAACTAAATATTTAATTCATAATTTTTTTTAGTTCATTTGAACAAAACAGATTTATTAAATAAATATTTTATAGTAACATTTTACACAGATCATAGTCACAGAACATTTTTAGAAATAGAAAGAAAAACATTTAAATTTATTCAAAATATTGTGTGTGTGAGGGGGGGGGGATTTCTAGTGGAATTAAAATATAAAATGTTAACAGAATTTTTAGACATTTTTTGTTTTTCTTAAATTTTGCTATTTTTAAACAAATATTTAATTTTTTTTTCTAACATATACATTTAAATAATAATAACAATAATTTTAACAATAATAATAATTTAAATAAATTATAATTTAAGACCGTTATCATAAGTTATTTTGTTAGATGAGCTCTAGATTTGGCTTTAGTATTGACTAATCTAATGTCTAATCTAATAAATTAAAAAATCTAATTCATTCATTCATTCATTCGTTTTCCTTCAGCTTATTCCTTTATTAATCAGGGGTCGCCTCAATGAAATGAACTGCCAACATTTCCAGCTAATGTTTCACACAGCAGATGCCCTTCCAGCCACAACCCAGAATTGGAAAACACCCATACACATTCATACACTATGGCCAATTTAATTTATTCAATTCACCTATAGCGCATACATGTCTTTGGACTGTGTGGGAAACCAGAGCACCGAGGAGAAAACCCATGCCAACACTGGAAAAACACGGGGAAAACTCCACACGGAAAGCCAACTGATCCAGCCAGGACTCAAATCAGTAGCCTTTTTGCTGTGAGGCGACAGTGCTAACCCCTGAGCCACCATGTGACTCCTAATTTAATGAATATGCACAAATATAACCTTATTATAGAAGATATTAATTTAAATGAGAGACTTCTGTATAACTGGCAAACAATTAAAAAGAAAGTATGACGCAAATAGAAAAGGAATTTGTAAAAGGAAATCTGTGATCCAAAGGCTTGAATATTACACATTCATGCTAAAAGCATGAATAATTGGTGAAACAAATTGAGGTTTATTTAATTGCACACATTTTAGCCCTGCATATCACGCAAGAAGAAAATATTATCTTTCAAAAGCTTCACTGCTGAAATCAAACTACAATTGTGTGCTTTCACATTAACCTTTTTTCTAGACAGAGACAATAATTTCTCTTTAAGTAGGCAAATATTCTGGTGTAATTGAGAGCTGCATTCTTGCATCATTACTAATTAAAAAAAAATATCTAGCATAAAAATGTTTAATTTATCCTATGCATAAACTTATAACTCTTTTTAACAAAGTATATGACTATAATCTTCACTGCCATGATGTCATCATACGCTATGATACCATTACTGTACTTTACTGTACAACAGAAATTGCAGATTTTCATCATCTCGATCTAAATGTGGAGTCACTCATCATGGATCCTGTAAGAGCCTCCGAGATAACACATGAAAAACTAGAGCATGGCAAACCAGAGTGGCAAGGTGCTCTTCAATGCCATCTGCCTATTTGCTGAGAACACTTTTAGCCTAAAAGCATGCATAAATTTGTATGTTTTTTATGCTTGATGATGAGCGTGATGCATATTCGATTAGATGTTCAGATGTTAATGCATTTATTTTTTGTGTAAATACGCTAACTGTTTTCTGCAGGATCCTGCACTCATTTCTATAAGAAAAAGAACAACTCGAGGTTGCAAGCATTCGGATGGATAGCTGTCAGCATTGTCGTCTTTCATTAGAGCAGGCATGTCCAAACTCGGTCCTGGAGGGCCGGTGTCCTGCAAAGTTTAGTTCCAACCCCAATCAGACACACCTGGGCTAGCTAATCAAGCTCTTGCTAGGCTTTCTAGAAACATCCTTGCAGGTGTGTTGAGGTAAGTTGGAGTTAAAATCTGCCGGACACCGGACCGAGTTCGGACACCCCTGCATTAGAGGATTTCATTTAATGGTTGTTTTGATCTAACTTTGAATTTCTTAGTATGTTTCTCAGATTGAATCAAAACCTTAGAGCTAAAATAAAATCCATGTTCTAAAGGTGCTCTAAAGGTGAATTGAATGAACTAAATTGGCTGTTGTACATGAGTGTGTGTATGAATGAATATCTATGGGTGTTTTACAGTAATGGGTTGTGGCTGGAAGGGCATCCACTGCATCAAACATATGCTAAAATAGTTGGCGGTTCATTCCACTGTGGCGACCCCTAATTAATTAAGGACTAAGCTGAAGGAAAATTAATTAACAAACATCAACCTCATTTTTTTGAGTGTACTGCGTCTTTAAATTTTGAGAAGCAAGCTCATTGGCTGCAGAGGCCACAGCAACCGATCTCCTGCACCATTGCAGATTGAATGGAACTTATTATTCTGTGCGCCGAAGAGTTTCATGATAAAACTTCTAAGTCTTTGTGCTTTTGTTCAAAATTCTTGGCCAAAAAAAAAGAAGATATCTCAGAGCATCTCTTTCAAACGGGCACGTCTCCAAATGATTTCATCTGTGATAAACCGCTGACCTCCAGGGACAATGAAACAGACAGTGAGACGGAGATAAAAAAGGGGAATTAGACAGGAAAAGGAGGAATAAAGAGAGGCAAACAGGAACACAGCTTCGCTTGAGAGAATTATTCTTTTTTTTTTTTATTTCTGACACTGTTTCATCAGAGCAGTCCGGAGAGCCCAGAGCCTTTTATTAAAGGATAAAACTCTTGTCAAACATTTCAAAAGCAAAATGGTGCGCACACATGGAAAATTACAGCTCAGCTGAGAGGATGGGGAAAAAAAATACAATTCATTGACTATGAAAATGTTAAGAGATAGCAAAAAGACCAGCAATGTGCAACTTTTCCCTCATTGAATGATTCCAGCTTAAGCATAATTACATGTTAACATTAAAAGCACAAATGTTTTGACTCAACTCATTAGCGGTGT